ATTAATAAATGGAATTCCTGAGAATAAATTATGTAGAACCATTTAGCACAACCAACTACCATAAAATCCCAAATTGGGAACCAGTTAAACATTTTGTCATTATTGAAAATCCACCATGCACGAGAAATGGGGAGTTTGCATAATAATGATGATAATTAATAGTGACAATAATAAATAGTAAAATTTATGTATATTTAAATAGTGAATAAATCCAAAAATAGTTCCCCATCTATTAGTGTGGCTTGTATCATATTTCTCCAATATAGCCCCATGATTATACAAAAAAAATTCAAAATGGTCCATCAGGAAGAAATAAATGAAAATTGGAATAAAATTATGATTTTAATTTAGTCCCTCCATTATATAAATTGTGTTCCTCCGACACACAGCCATTGAACCAATATACGCTTCAAATTCTGTATGGTTGCTCCATCACTGCATTCATCCCAAAAAACATATAGTTCGATTTTACACAAAATGTTTCTCAAAATGCTTTCATTTAGGTTTCCATGTCTGAGTGGGCCATTCATTTTGTTCATGGAACCCGCAATATGACAAAAAATTTCACACTTGCCGACAGCTTCTTGGCCAAAACCTAGCACAGGTTCCTTCCGCATTCATGATTCTACCTTATCTATCGGAAAGTACAAAAGACAGCCCCTTTCTTTGTTAAACTCCTGCATCTCATTCTATATATCTCGTTTAAAACTACTCTTTGAATCCTAAAAATTCTTGTCACACTTGCCTCATATGCCTGCTCATCAGTTGAAAACAACTCATATTTTCTAGCAGATCTGATATCATGTCAACCGATCTGCCGCTTGAATGTTCGGAGCTACTTGCTCGATTCCCCACAAACCATCAGATCCAGCAGAAAAGTTAGTGAATAACGGAATAATTACCTTGTACTGAGAATTAAGCTCCTCCTTGAGCTCCGGTATCTCTCCTTTCTTGGTAGTAGAGAAATATTTAGAGTCATGCCCGCTCATCTTTGATCCTTGCCCCCCTTTTGCCTTATCGTCCTCTTTTCCTTAAGGGCCGGTCTCGTAACGGATTTAGAGCAGGATTTAAGCTGGATTAACCTAATAAATCTTGCCAGACGGTCATTTTTGAGAAAATAAATCCTCGGATATGATAGAGCAGGATTTCAAGGTGGATTTTGTAGATCCAGAACAAACGCCTCGCGCGGAAAAGAAAGACGTGAAGTTACCTTCCTCAGGAGGAAGGAGGAGAAAAATGGGAGCTTCGGGTCACTATATGCCGTGATCCCGTCGTTGCGTTGTCAGTTTTGCGACTGGATCGCGAGGGTTCGGTCACGAAGGCGATTGTTTTGGACGGAACAGAGACGGGGAGTGAAATGCGAATGCAGGCGAGGGTTTCATTAATTTAATTTTATTAATTTTACTGAATAATAATTAAAATTAATTAAAATATTATCATATTAATTAAACTTAAATAACTTTATACTTATTATTTATTTATTAATTAGTTAAAATATAAATATTAAATTTTTATTCATCCAATAAATGTATAAATAATTTTAAATTATTTATACGTCTATCTCCATCTATATTTGTTCTATATTAGTGATATTTTACATCCGATTTATTCATGATTAGAAGCAATGTTCACACCATGAATCCTAAGCCCAACACATCAATAGATGTGCAATAATATTACAACATCCATAGACAGGTCATAGACTAAAAACGGTGACATAAATCCAACGAAGGGATAAAATGATTGGATGTAGCCCAATCAAATGAATCAACTCGAAAACTAGAGCTACAGTGGCCCACCCTTCTCATGATTTAAGAAATATTGTATCATGTTGAATAGACTTGAAACAACCCGACAAATGTAGTTGGTTGCAATGATTATTATTGATGGTTGATAACAGATGATAGTCGATACAGACCTCTCGTAATCAGTAGCAATCTCAGTGGATAATGATGGCCTTTGGTGTTTGATGATGAACTATGGTGGTCAGTCCCAATGTCAGGTAATCAGTTA